TTTTAATAACTGTTGTAACCTTTTCAACAGTTACATAAAAATCACGTATCTATAATTATTCAGGAAAAAAAAACTGGGTAAATCTCACATATTTAAAAATTATTTAAAAATGAAAACCCACTCTATTTTCAGGTTTCAATTTTATTTAACCTTATTTTTAAAACATGAAAATCTGAGCTGGGCATGGTGGCTCATGCCCATTATTCCAGCAATTTGGGAAGCGAGGCAAGAGGATCACAAGTTTGAGACCAGCCTCAGCAACTTAGTAAAGCCCTATCTCAAAATTAGAAATAAAAAGGGCTGGGAACATGCCTCAGTGGTTAAGCACCCCTGGGTTCTATCCCCAGTACAAATAAATAAATGTATTAAATATATAAAATAAGAATGAGAACCTGGGTAAAATGAATGATACTCTGGAAATGTTAAAAGAACATAGGTGGAAACTTTATTTAATATATATTTTTAAATTTTTTAGTTGTAGATGGACATAATACCTTTATTTTATTTGTCTATTTTTATGTGGTGCCGGGGATCAAACTCAGTGCCTCATGCATGCTAGGCAAGTGCTCTGCCCACTGAGCCACAACCCTGGCCCCTATTTAATATTTTTAACTGGAGAGCTTTTTCTTTGTTAACTTGTGAAATTCTTCAATATTCTATCTACTTATTTACTTTTCTACCTATCTACAGAGTTTTGCAATAATACCGTCTTATCGGAAATTTTATACAGTGCAGATCATTTTGATCTCTTGTTTTTGTAAGTTCAAAACATTTCTGAAGTATGAGAAATTTTTTATATGTTTTGCAAATCAAGACAAAGAGAAATATCCAATTTTAAAAATGGTTAAGGTTATTAACTTCACTATTAGTTTATATTGTGTTGCCGGTATTACCTGAAAAATTAAATAAGATGAAGCAATTAGAGATACAAGAATTAGATGGGCCAGGGTGTAACTCCATTGTATTGCTTAACTGAGCATGCTTCAGGTCCTGGATCCAAGTCCCAACACAAACCAAAAATGTTTAGGAATTAGAAAGGAGTGGTTTTCTTAACTATAGATAACATGATTTATATCTGAAAAACCACAGGGGGAAAAATCATTGAAAAAAAATATGGGAGACATAGGTAAGTTGGGTGTGCCTGCAAAGGAGATAAAACAGGGCATGGTATATACTGATTTGATGGTGTTTACACAACTTTACACGTGGTTACATGAGCCAAAATTCATAAAACTGTACACCAAGAGAAACAAGTCAATTTCAATAGGAGAATGTCTTATAAAATATAAAATAAAATAAAATAAAATATAAAGTTACTACAAATAATCCAAGAACAATTAGAATAAAGATTGATACATTTGAAAAAAATGAAAAAAAAATCAAACTTTTGCATGGCAAAAAATAGTAGTGTAGACCAAATAGAAAAAAAAAAAAAGATGAAATAGCATTTCAAAATTATGTTACAGAAAAACAAATCATATTTTCAACATATGAAGTGCTTTAAAAGAATTGAAAAGAAATGCAAAAATCCTATGGAAAACTGAACAAAAGAAATGAATAGGCAGTCTACATGAAGAGAAAAAGAAATCGTGTTTGATCACGAGATCAAGAGATCAAAATGCAGATCATGATCTATGACTCCCATATTTTTTTTTCAAAGATATTTTTTTCCTCTGTGGTTTTTCAGTTTCAAATTCTGTTAAGCTATTTTACACCCATTAGATGGGGGGAGAAATCCATAAATTTGATTATATATCCTGTGGACCAAGCTGTTGGGAACAGGTGCACCCATTAGAAGAATTTAGCAATACATAGAAAACTATATATGCCTTTAATACTTTGATCTAGTAATCTCAGACTTAGGAATCATCTTGAACCTGTACTTCCAAAGACATAAAGGAAAATTTGATTTTTTTAATGATAGCAAAATGCCAATCAAAACAAGCAAATCAACTGTGACAAATTCCTACAAAGGAATATTATCCAGTTGTAGAGAGAAATGAGAAAGATATTTACATATTGATGTCATGTGACATCCAAAATATATTTTTAAGATAAAAACAGAGTAATGTGTAGAATATGTTAAACATATTTTTTAAAGAAAGGAGGACAGAAGTTTGTTTTTTAATGTATATTTTCAAAAAATTAACAATCAATCTTCAAAGTAATAGTCAACTCTAAGAAACATAATGGTTTGAATGAAAGGCAAATGTAAAGGACCCCATCCATATAAGAGAAGCCTAATATAATAAGATTTTCCTCTCACGCACCATCTTGTGGAGGAGAAGAGGGAAGGAAAAAATTGTGTTAGGTAAATTTATCATTGACTGGGCACTTCCCACAATAAGACTGATTTACATGGGGAATGTCTGTGATATTAATCACCAGGTTAATTCTTAACATACCTAGTTATCCAAGTGGATGAGAACTTGTAAGGAAAATTACATTAATAGGAAAAAAATGCAGCATATTCTTTGCACATTTAAGTTTTGTTTGCATAATTTTGCAGAAACGATTTCATGATCATAGATATTTACTAATCCAAAAATAAATAATTCTGTAACAAAGTTATTGGGACACTGAAATGTTGCTATTGAATTTTCTGAGGATATAAATATTTCTTCTGTTAATTCATTGATTTTTCTTTTTCTAAAAGAAGCGATAAAATGTTGAAAATATTATATTGCATTTTTTCCTGTGAATCTTGATAAGATCTGCCTTTAGTACAGTGAGTGGGAGTGATTTATATCAGTTTTGAATAAGAAGATTTTGAGATAAGATAGGAAGTTATAATTATACCTCCTTTCCCCTTAATGCTTTTCTATTTTCAACTCTCACTTGAAAGAACCAAAAAATTAATTAAAAATTAATATATCACGCTTGTTCATAGTTCTTTTAACAATCTCTAAGTAATATAGAATATATATTTTTTGTCAGTACAGCAAAATGATCTGAGTTTTTCACATACACATTACCGACAATTTTTACTTACAAAGAAGACAGTAGGTAAATATCATCTTTCTTTCATAGATAAAAAGAAATAACAAGAGTGTGGAATTTAGTAGCATCACCTTTTAAACTTTGCTCACAGACAGAGTTGAAAAGTTAATACTATATGATTTATATAAAGAGTAATCATTTCTATGTTTAAAATCCACTTTGACCTCTATCTTCATGAATATTATTGGATAATGATAGCACACTGTTGAGCTATTTTTCTTCCTTAGATAACACAGTCATTAGAGTTCTTAAACTGTCTACTGGGTCTTGCTACTTTTAAAGAAATTGATTAATTGTATAATTTACCACCCAAATTTATTGGCTCCTAGGATAAAGTTACTTTTTAGATATCAAGAGAAATTTACAACACCAGTTTTTTAAAAAGGGAGATTTTTTTCATATCCAGAATTTTAGGATATGAAAAGACAGAAATATACCATATTTAAATATAGTTGATGTTATATGAGGAAAATGATTCTAATTAATTCTGTGTAAATATGAATATGTAAAATGTTCAGAGAATGGGGAAGTTTTTGAAATCAAAATGATAAAGGAAAAACTTGAGTTTTGAATGGATTTCACTTGAACTACTCACAATTATCTGCACTATTTTTTTTTTTTTTGTACTAGAGTTTTAACCCAGGGATGCTTTACCACTGAGTCACATTCCCAGCTCCTTTTATTTTTTGAGACAGGGCCTCACTAAATTGCTGAGGCTGGCCTCCAACTTGCAATCCTCCCAGCTTCCGAAGCTGCTGGTATTAGACATGTATTACCACAACCACCTGCACCTTCTTTTTAAAGTTTAACATTATGTGATAAAATAGAATTTGAGTTGAATAAATAAGTTGGAATCTCCCTTATCTTTAGTATGATGTTGGCTCATATTTGAAAGCCGCTTTTTAAATATCCCACATTTGACAAAGTTAGTTATTTGGGAAATGTTAGATATATCTGGGTCAAACTGAATCCCCGTCCCCCCTCCCCCGCCCCCATACACATACACCAGGGGAGGGAGATAAGGAGAGATAGAGACAAAAAGATTATTCTAGATACTTAGACTCAGGTATTTATTAAGACATAGGAAAAGTCCATCTCCAGAGTTAGCATTTTATAATTCCTGAAAATTGTTAACAAAACTACCATTTTTTGTTCGTTTAGAAAACGATATGTCATGGGTAACAGACTAAATTTGAAGTTTCAGGGAAGAAAAAAAAATTAGATTTTCTTGAGCTGGTAGTACTTACTCCATAAGTCCACTGAACCCGAGCGAGGTAGTATTTATTTGTTTCCACATCAGTCAACTCCTTCATTCCGCAGAGATCTACTGAATGGCTACAATACCTCTGCTGATTGCTGGTCATTAGACCAGCCTGCAACACTGACATGGTTTCGGCCTTATCCAAAAAAAATCACACAAACACAAACTGGAAACCATAAGTCTGTAAAGTGTTTGGGGCAGGGGTGGGCATGAAGGAGAAGTAATTGGTCATATAAAGAGTACTGACGTGGCAGAGGGGGAACCTGCCTGCACAAAAACCCTGAGAAACTGATCTGGAAAAACTTCCAGGTACCAGAACTCTGCAGCACAGAAAGTCGTGCGAGAGGTCGCACAAAATGGTTTCAGTGTTTATATAATAAACATCCTCTATAAATAGGTAATTATATAAAACAGACAGGTTTTCGCTTGGGCATTTCAGCCAGCACTTTTTGTTTTTAAAATCTGTTCATTTAGGATTTGTCCTTGTCTTTGTTAAGACTACAAAGGTGTAACCAGTGTGACGTCACTCACTCCCCGTCCCGAAGCAATGAAACTTGCAACCTTCTCCCACCGACTCTTAGATTCTGTAGTTAAAACACTACGGAGGAGAAGCCAAGAGCCCACACCTAAGAGCGAGACCCCAACCCCCGCAGAACCGCTCGAGCGGAGGTGGAGCCTGGGACCGCGGCCACTCACTGCGCATGACCGGCGCACGTTGCCAAGGCAGCGGGGAAAGGCGTCACCCGGAAGTTAGGGCCGCTGAGCTGTTGGCACCCGGGCTAGGGCCCGGTGGGCTCATCCTTCACTAGTTCCTGAGATGATCCTGACGAAAGCAAAGCAGATGAGAAACCGATTCTGAAGCAATGTGATGTCCATCTGCCCAGAAGTCTGGGGATTTAAAAAGATCAAGGAGAATTGGTTCAAACCGACGTAAGTGCTATGGCTCACCTTTCTGATGAAACGGCCGGGTCCTTTACTGATGAGGTAGAGAGTTCTGGTTCTCTCAGCCCCTCTGGAGGACAGCAGTCCTGGCCCAGCCCCTCTGGGACAGAATCGGATGATGGAAAACTGGCTGCAAGCTTGCAAGAAGAAACCAAGCAATCCGAGCTTTCTGACTTCAAAAATAACGAAAAGAAGTTGACTCAAAAATGGATCAACTGTCTCAAGGACAAAAAAACTAACTATGAACAAAACCAACCGGAGACTGAACTTCAAACAGAAATCAATGGGCTGTCCGATGAAGAACTGAATGCCCTGCAGTCTTTTTGCACCACTAAGATAAACTTGATCCATCAAAGAGTGGACTCTAAAAAGAAGAGCAACAGACACAAAAAGCTGCAGTTTAGATGCGATCCAGAGCCTTCAGAAATCAATGCCTTAACATGTACTGTTCCTGATGAACTTTTAAACAGAATCTATTTTGAAAACGTGAGGACAACACTAAAACAGGTGGCATCAGCAAAGCAACACATTACTTCACAGTGTCCCAACTGTATTAGGAAAAAAGCAGAGCTGGCTCAGTCTGCCTTCCTAAAGCAAAAGAAGACTTTACTGGAGTCAGTTCTCCTCCAAGAGAAAGTAGATGAACATCTTCATACCACAGACTTTCTCACCCATGTTGGAGAAGCACATCAGGGTCTTCCCAGGCTTTCAGATGACCCTAAAATAATCTGGAAAAGACTGAAAGAGAAAACTCAGACTGGATACTCCTGTTTTGAAAGGTCAGATACCAAGCAGAAGATGTAGCAAGATGGAAATAGGACTTCATTCACCTTTTTTCCTCTACCACTTCTCAAGTCTCTTACCCAACCAAACAGAAGATGGTGATTACTAATGATGACATGCGATGTGGATGTGTGTAGATATTTCTGTTTTTTTTTTTTTTTTTTTTTTAAGTAACTGGCATTTCTTGGAAACTAATAAGGATTTTTTTTTATGCTATCTTTCTAGATTTGAGGACTAAGAACTTCCCATCCAATATGTTTTTCAGATTACACAGGGCAACGTTGTAGTTGGAATAATTACAAAAACTTTTTACAACAATATAGGAGCGATATTGGTACTTGGGATTAGGTTGTTGATAATACAGAGAGAAAGAAGTAAAGAGATACTTAGGAAACAATAATTGTTTTGGTGATTAAATGGTAATAGGGATTTAATAAAAGATAAATGTTAGAAGTGTTAAAAGTCTTACCGAGGTTTTGATTTGTGTACCTGTTTGATAATTAATTTCATTAAGATGGGACTACTAGAATAAAACCATGTTTGATAGAGTAATCAAGACTATAATTACTTGCACATAAGTAGTTTGAGGTGTATTTGAGGCATACACATTCAGAGTTTGAGGAAATGTTATTTATACTTGTAGTCTAGAAGAAGAGTCTAGAGATTTGAAATAAAGGGGGCAGGTGGGGAAATCATTGGCACTTGTTGGAAATTGAAGTCATAGATGTGGTGAGCTTCCCTGGAAGAGAAGAGAGGTAAAATAAAAGCAGGGTTAGTACCAACTCCTGAGAAATACCAATAGTTAATGGCCAGGTAGAGGAGAATAAACTTGCAAAAGAGTTTAGAAAAATTACCATAGAAGGATAAAAGAAATCAGGAATGTGTAATAGCATATAAGTCAAGGAAAGAGAATGTTTCAAAAAGAATGATTGGTCTAAGCATGTTGGTGAACCAGAGAGACCATATAGAGATGATTTAGACATGTGTTGGGCACTGTTGACCTTAGCCGTAGCCATTTCACTTATAGAAATGGAATAGACAAAGTAGGTTGAGGAATAAATGTGAAATAAAGAATATGAATATAGATTACTCCTTAAAATGTTTAACTGTTGGGGAAAAAGAGAAGTGAAACTGGAGACAGATGAAGAGTTGAGGGAAGAAAGTCATTTTGGTCATGAAGATATGAAACTTCTGTTGCTCATCCTAATTTCCACTCAGAGGAAACAATATTGCTCCCTGAGAAATATAGCATTATGAAAACATTTATGGGGGAAAATAATACTTGGTATTATGAAAAATCTTATTAATTATTTATTACCTCTATAAGATATAAAATCCTTGAGTTAGTGGCATTAACAGGAGGTCATCCTCCTACATGTCTAACACCCAAGCTATTTCAGTGGAAGAAATTTGCAAAAATCAGCACAAGAGTCTTTGAGACACATTTCAATTTTACTCTTGAGTTGATGTTCATTTATATATAAAGATCTTTTTCCTGTAAAATTTAGCATATATCTTTTTAGTAAATCATTTATAAATAAATTGGAAGCATCATTACCATTTGCATAATAACAACATTTTATTGAAAACCACATTATATGATGCTTTATCGTTGGCATCTCAATATATTCACATTTTACATTTTCAGAATTCAGAATTATTTTCCATTTAGATCTCCCCGATGAAAGGTCATTTTTGTTCTTAGTTAACCAAGTTAGCAATCTAAGAGTCATCTTTTGTTCTTCCTTAAAAAAAAAAAAAAAAAAAACTCAATCCCAAGCTATTTTTCAGAAAGATCATTTGATTTCTGTCCTTCGGCTTCTTCTTTTTTCATCTCATTACCACACTCTTTATCATCTCTGCCCTCCTACTTCTCCTACTTTCACCCCTCTTTAAACCATTCTCTCTGTACTGGTCAGAGTGATTTTTCCAACATATAAATTTGTTCAAGGATTTCTGCTAATTGAAGAACAAAGTGACTCTAACTGATTTGTCTCTGCTGCAGAAATAATGCAAGCTAATTAATGCTGCATACTGTGATCCAAATTTACTTTGCTAGTTTCTTCTCATATATTCAAGCCTCTCTACAGGATTTGTAATTCCCCAAGCCCTGTTTTTCTTTGTGTCACCGTGGTTCACATGTACACATTTGTTTGGCTCTAATTCTCTCAAGTTGCCTTTTCCACCTGGTATATTTCTTCTTTGCTTCTTATTTTTGCTTTAAAATTTTATTATCAGAGATAGGTACTATATTTAAATGGTCCAGAACTCAAAAGGACGTGACAAGGCTTAGCATGCAGTATCTCTTCCACCCTGTCACCACCCAACCTCATCTGTACCAAGTTGCTGGATCCCTGCCTGCCATGGTTAACTTCCCACTTTCTGGAACATGGGGCAGTTAGGTATTCTGGGGTGAGAGCAGAGGTAGAGGAAATTGAGGGAATTTGGGAGTGAGCATTTACCAGTCAGGTATGAAGTATTTCTGTGCTTGAGCCAGGAAACTGTATTAATGTATAATATAATCACTTATATTAATTTATTATATATCCTTCCAGTGATTTTTTTATGCAAATACTGAAAATAGTTTTCTATGTACTCTTGCTGTGGATTAGATAAGTGTACCCAGAGTTCTATATGTTGAAAGATTGGTTGCCAGCCTAAGGTGCTATTGGGAGGTGGTGAAATACTTAAAAGGTGGAGCCTAGTGGAAGGAAATTAGATCACTAAAGGCATCCCTTAAAAGGCATATCAGGACCCCAAACCTTTCCCTTTGCTTGACTGCCCTGAGGGAGACAGCTTCCTCTGCTGTGTGCTCCTGGCATAATGTACACAGGCCCCAAAGTGATAAAGCTGACCAACCACAGACTGAAACCTCCAAAATGATGGAGCAAAATAAAACTTTCTTCTTTTTCAGTTGTTTCATTTCGGATATTTGTCACAGTGACAGATTGCTCACTAATACAAATGTCTTCTTTCCCTTGCCACTTTTTTTTGTATAATGGTGAGATATGCATATATATGGTATATATAAATGGACAACTATGATATAGATATAATATATATCATAATATATATCTCTGTATTGTAATTTTCCATTTTGACCATCGTTAATATGTTAATATTACCATTCAGTGGCATTTCATTCACAGTGTTGTGCAACCATCACCACTACTTCCATTATTTATCATCACTTCAAACAGAAACTCTGGACCCAGTAAATAATAACTCCCCATTCTCCTCTCGCATAATCCCATTAACCTATAATATACTTTCTGTTTTTGTGACTTTTCCTATTGTAGATATTTGCCCTGTTTTTTTTTTTTTGATTGGCTTCATTTACTGCAAAATGCTTTCAAGTTTCATCCATAGTATAGCTTGTAAAAGAAAATCACTCATTTTTTATGGCTGAATAATATTCCAGCATCTGTATAGATTGCATGTATGTTTATCACATCAACTGCTGATTGACACTTGGGTTGTTTCCACTTTATGATTAGTGTGAATAATACTGCTATGAACATTGGCAAAACAAATCTATTTGACCACCTGTTTCTCATTCTTTTGGTTCTAGACCTAGAAATAGAATTCCTGGATCAGATGCTAATTCTATGTTTAATTTTTTGAGGAACTGCCAAATTGTTTCTACAACAGTACAACACTTTACATTTCCTCCAGCAACCAATGTCTTCATTTTCTTGCCATCACTTTTTATTTTCCACTTAAAAATTACAGCCATTCTGGCAAATGTGAAGTGGTATCTCATTGTGCTTTTGATGTTCCAAATGACCAATAATGTTGAAATTTTTTTTTTCTACTTTGGAGAAATGTCTATTTAAGTCCTTTACCCATTTTTAAATCAAGTTGTCTATTTTGTTGAGCCTCAAGTTATTTACATATTTTAGGTTTGAAATCCTTATCAGATATATGATTTTCAAATATTTTCTCCCATCCCATGGGTTATCTTTTCAGTCTCTTTAATCCTCTGATGCACAAAAGTTTTTAGTTTTAGTGAAGTCCAATTTACCTAATTCTTTTTTGGTTATTGTTGCTTCTAGTGTCATATTTAAGAAACTATTACCAAAACTAAGGTCATGTAGATTTGCCCCTTGCATTTTCTTCTAAGAATTTTATAATTTTGCATCCTATGGTTAGGTATACTATAGCTGGAATGTGTCCCCCACAAAGTTCATATGATAGAAAGTCCCAAAATTCATGTGTTATTACTTTTGGGAGGTAACCAGGATTGGATGAGGTCATGAGGGTCTCCTATGTATGAATAATACTGCTATGAACATTGGCGTACAAATATCTGTTTGGGTCTCCTCTGACGGCTTTATAAGACGAGCTAGCACTTTTGCTCTGTCTCAACATATGATCCCCATTATGTTATGGTGCAGTGAGAAGGACCTCAACAGATCAACTGATCAGATACTGGGGCCATGCTTAGACTTCCCAGCCTCTATAAATATGAGTCAAATAGACATATATTCCTTATATTCTCATTCTCAGATATTTTGTTGCAGTGATAGAAAATTCATTTTATATTAATTTTTTATTTATGGTGTAAGGGTCCAATTTCATTCCTTTGCATTTGTATATATGTTTTTTTCATCACCACTATTGAAGAAGGGACTTGTTCTTTCGTTATTGAGTATTTTCAGCTCCCTGGTTGATGGTCAGGATCATAAAAGTGACAGTATATTTATGGTCTTCAAATTCTATTTCATTTGTCTCTCTGTCTGTCCTTATGTTGGCACTACACTGTTTTGGTTATTGGGCTTTGATTAATTTTGAAATCAGTAGCATGGAACTTCCACCTCTTTAAAATTTTGTGAAATCTCTGTTTCTATTCTTCCTTTTCAAGATTGATTTGGCTCTTCAGGGTTTCTTGAGATTTTATTTGAATTTTAGGATGAGTTTTTCCATTTTTGTAGAGAGTGCCATTGTATGGTTGATAGAGATTGCATTGAAACTATATATTACTTTGGGTAGCATTGTCATCTTAATATTATTAAGTCTTTTGACCCACACACATGGATATCTTTTTATGTACTTCATCAGTGTTTCCTAGTCCTCAGTGTATCAGTCTTGCTCCTCCTTGGTTGAATTTACTTCTAAATATTCTATTCTCTTCAATGCCATTTTGATGGAATTTTAAAGGTGTTTCTTTTTGGATCGTTCATGGCTAGTGTGTAGAAATACAGTTGATATTGCATCCTGCAACTTTGCTGACTTAATTTACTAGCTTTAACAGTTTAAAAAAGTTATTCTTCCAATGCTTTAGAAATTAGATGACATCATCTACAGAAGAGACACTTTCATATCTTGCTTTCTGGTTTGGGTGCCTCTTTTTCCTTGCCTATTGGCCCTGGCTATAA